TGTCACCGTAGTAATGATGATATAACCAATCATCTCAAACCATTTAGGGACTTATTTATTCTGCATGAAATTAAAAGTATTCAAAAATTAATAAGGAAATACATTGATGGAATACACATGTGTGTTGATTTGTCAGAATTTGGTTATTGGTGGTCATTGTTCTCATACAATTTGCATACTGAAATTATGGCAGGGTTATGATGATTATATCATATGATTTATATTAATCTTTTCACCACCAAACTTTCTTGCCAACATTTTTCTGTACTTTTTTTTTATATTCATCAATATTTCTGAAAATGAACCCTAATTTTGGAGCAAACAAACATTTGGTTATTTTTGTCCCAGTCTTCTAAAGGAAAGTGCAGACTGACTATAAACTGGACCATTTTGGTGAAAAGGTTTTATACAATTTATGTTTTATTATTCTACACTGGACACTGATATTAATATAGTGTATTTAGGGGGTAGTATTAATTGAAGAACACATTTGCTAATATATTTATTGTAAAAATTATGCTTAGGTATGTTGCTGTACTAATAAGGAACTTGCATGTATTTATTAATACAGTGCATGTGTTATTTGAAGAACATGTCTCAAATATAAAGTGTTTTTAGTCCCCTTTCGGACGAAGTCCGAAAACGGGGACTTATAATTCGGTCTCCGTTCGTCCGTGTGTCAGTACGTCTGTGCGTCCATGCGGAATCATATCTCAGAATCCCTTGGACCGATTTCGTTCGTTCGTTCTTTGCATGTGCCTAGTACTTTATGTGGGACATATACACATGCAGTGGTTTAGTTTTTTGAAAATGTTGTACTTTGGACATGCTTTGTCAGTTTTCATTCAAACTTGGTACATAGATTATACATGTTAGGATACATGTCCATGATGATTTATTTCACAATTGGATCAAAGATGGCCAACTGGCAGTCATCTTGTTTTTTGAAAATGTCGTATTTTGGACATGCTTTGTCAGTTTTCATTCAAATTTAGTACATAAATCATACATGTTAGGATACATGTCCCTGACCGTCCGTGAGTTCCTGAGTCTGTCCGTCCGTCAAAATCTGGTCAAGGATGGCCGATTGACAGCCATCTGACTTTTTGGCCTTACTACTATATTTCCACATTTTATGTACCATTTTCATTCGTATTTGACACATACATCATACATATCAGTGTGTTTCATAATCAGATCAAAGATGGCCGAATAATGGCTGTTTTTATTTTGGCCATATTACTATGACACGAAACACATGTTTTGATGTAAATAAACAATCTGTTTTATACGCCACTTGGAACTCAAGTTTCAAGGACACACTCGCGACAACCTCTCTGCTTTATTATGACGAGCACAAAGAGAACTTAACAGGGACTGTGTCATTTTCAATGACTTGTTTTATTTAATTATGACAACTTTGTTCTTGTCCATTTTTCATCAGCATTGTTGCCACAGTACTCCCTGCAAAACGTTCAGATAAATTGATTGGGACTTTTATACGTTTTCTATGCAAAGAATAAATCATACATCAACATGTATCAATCAATCCATCTATTATTTAATCTAGATTCTCAATAGACAATGTTGTAATAATTGTACTATCTTTTATTTCACAGCGTGATAAGAACAGAGAAAAATTACTGGATTTCCTTAATTCTACTATGTAACTCCATCCAACACAATGTGACTGAATAGTAATATGCAAAACTGTAATGATATTATGTACATGTTTCTGGTTTGAGCAGTGAAAAAGTGATGAAAGAACACCGAGAAGACAACATGCCATACATGCACTCCTAGAGTACTTCTACCAAAATCTTTCTGTACATATACGATGAGAAGTTATTTATTAATCGAATAGAAAAACAGATGTTGTCAGTTCGTACAAGTTTTTGTATAACATGACTATAATGGCAGATACCCCGGTAATAGTAAAAGGAATCAAACATGTTTGTTCTTTTTAAGATGCATGCAACTAAAAAATGCTTTAATTACATTGTTTATTTCTTTCTAAAAATAGAAAATCACAGAAATAAAGAACACTTTCTCAACAACATTGTAGATTTGATGGTATGTGTAAAGGCATAATGATTGCATTGTCAAGACAGGTTTCCATGGTGATACCAATTTCTGCACAATATTATATACTCAAGTGGCCATTAAAAATCTGAACTTGCTCAGGATCAAAAAGATTCTCTATCAGTTTAATGTACTGTTGACTATTTTACTTTCTGTCTCATAATTTGGTGTGATTTCACCAATTACTTTTGGTCATACATATGTGCACATCCATTTGGACGATTATACCACACTTGGTTGTGCAACACTTTATTCTGGTCATACCCCCGGTATGTTTCATTGAATCCACACATCTTTGTCTTTATTCAGATAGTATGGTTGTATCCTTTTCGTACCTCTATGAATTATCTCTAATTTTGGTGCCAGAGTGGCAAGTCTGACCCAAGGCTTCAACCGATTTTTCAGCCCAGTTAGTTTGTGTGTTAATCGTAGCAGCTACATATGTTATGCAAATTTGCCTGAAAACAATTTGATTAGCTAGTGAAAGTGCAGTTGTGAAACATAAACTCTGTCTGTCGTATATGCTGGACAAAGGGAACATGGGTGCAGCGCCCTCATGTGCCCCTTACCCTGAGAGCAGGTTCTCTGGCAACTATAAAATTGACTAGTCTTCAACTGTGACCTGTCTGTTTGGCCCCAAAGAAGCTATAGAATGCTCCATTTTAACTTAGAATTATCAAAAACTCCACACCTTGGTAGGGAGAACCCTATCTCCCCCCACTTGCTGGTGCCGCTGAATTGCAGTGCTCCCTCTAGCAGTTTTTTTACAGAAAAACCCCTGCCGGATAGCTTGTTGCTGACATTATAGAAGTGCATGTCACTGAGCCGTTACAATAAACAGCACAGATTTTTGAAACCAAAATTCCAAACCAATTTTTTGGAAAACAAGTCATTGTTAGTGACACAGTCCCCGTCCAAAATTTTGTGATCTGACATATCAATTTGATGCTGATGAAGTCATTGAGATTAGATTGAAACCATTAATAGGAGATGGATTTGTAAAAAATTATGATTTAGTGCTTTTACCTGAGAATTGGACATTGGACAGTCGTATTGAATCAAATTACAAAAATAATGTTCATGTTGATATATCTATTGGTATACTGTCTTTGTACAAAATTTAAACAGAAATGTTCATTGCATGGGAAAGTAGGCATGGGTATCATGAAAAACAAAATGGCCACCAGTCAGCCATATTAGTTTGAATCACAGAAAAAATATGACATGCAACTATAACCCAATATGTATGATCATCATACCAACTTTGATCCAAATCGGCCTAGTCATCTCGAGAAACAGCTCAGGACATGAAAAAATGACGATTTTATAGCACTTTTACATGAAATTTGGGCATCAGCCATCCATATTGAATTGAATCATGAAAATCATGTTGGTGCAGATGTATCTCTTGGTATGCTATCTTTGTAAAAAATTTAAACAGAAACGTTCATTGCATTCAAGATAAAGTAGCATGGGTACCATGAAAAACAAGAGGGCCACCAGTCGACCATATTTGTTCGAATCACAAAAAAAAATGACGTGCACCTACAACCCAATATGTATGATCATCATACCAGCTTTGATCCAAATCGGCTCAGTCATCTCCGAGAAACTGCTGCGGACACATTTAGGTATCGTAAATAGCAAATTTTACATCCAAAATGGCAGCCAGTCGGCCATTTTTGCTCCAATCATAAAGTAACTTGACGCGCATATGTAAGACATTATGTATTGTCTTCATGTAAAGTTTGAATGAAATCTGTAAATGGGTGTCCGAGATATTGTTTTGGACGTACGTACAAACGGAACAAACACAAATTAATAGTCCCTGTTTTTGTTAAGTAACTCATTAAATGGCTGTTTTTTAATACAAACTTAAACTACCATTAGCGTCCTTTAACTATTATATATACCACTCTGTTTCACGCCAATTGTTTTGAGTATGATGCTTGCTTGCTTGCTTTCGATAACGAACAGTTCTCATTCATCATCTACTAGGAAATTACTTTTTTTGAAAATGTATGACTTGCTCCACTCTTGGTATGCATAACAAAGCACTGAATAGTTGAATCCTTCACTGACAGCAACAAGGCAAGCAGTGTTTGTACATCACTTTTTTGTTAGATTATTTTGCTACAAGTCGTTATTCGCACTTTCTAGATGTGCTGTTTCAACAGCCACACTTGGGATCAGCATCTTGTAAATGTCACTCTACCTTCAGCCACAGTCACTTTTAATTACTTTTTCAACATTCTACCAAGAGCAATGACATAGACATGCAACACAAGTTGCTTTACTTTAACTTGTGATCTATGTATTCTTTGCACATTTTGAAGCACATTAGGGCATTGCTGAACAAATTTGACAGGGACTATTTCATTTTTACAGACTTGTGTAAATTAAGCGCTGTTGCTCACTGTATAGTTACACTGTATGTGCAAGGTACATGTACATGTGTGGAACTGCTTTCTAATCAACTTTATCATTTTAGGCAAGGTACCAGTCTTAAATTCAAACATTTCAGTGTCTGCACTGGGAGTCTTTGCAGTTAGTGCGTCTGTATGTGTGTGCGCGTTTGTCTTAATTTAAAAATTATCAATGCTGTGACAACTTCCATTTAACTTTATACCTACCTAGCTTTTCCCCTGATATTTCATGTACTAATCATTAAATTTCAATGAAACTTGGTACATTGATGGTCTGGTACACTGATATCTCAAGTACTAATCATCACTTTATAATAAAACTTGGTACATAGATGTCATAGGACATTGTGCAGATCTTTAGTTTTACATTAACATATGTGCATATTAATTAGCAGATTGCATAATTAGCAAGTTTTCAGCTTTTCCATCATCATCTCAAGTACATTTTCATCATCTTTTTTTAATGAATCTTGGCACGTAAATACACCAAGACAATGCAACTAATTAGTTTTGGGTTTTTTTACTATTTACTAATAATTACCTAATTTGCATTTGTACATATGTGCCCTTGAACAATACACAGACCTAATTAGTTTGGGATTGGGGTAATCCACAGATGTTTAGATTAATAATGAAAATCAATGCATATTGTTTATCTAATATTAGCCAATTTCTGGCATTTCAAAAAATCTGATTTAAAATGAAGTTGTGGTAAAGGTGTTCCGAAATAAATTAGACTGAAAACCACAGATGTAAAATCAAATGTATTTTGTGTAATTATTATAAACTTCAATAATGTGGATCACATTGTTTTTAAGTTGTACATCTCAAATAGCAGAAAAATATTAGTTGCCAAGCTTCTTGTTTGAAAGGCTAATTAGTCCCCGTTCGGACGCAGTCCGAAAACGGGGACTTATGTTTTGCCCTGTGTGCGTCCGTGCGTCCGTGCGTCC